CTCTCTGCCTGTCCCCCCTTTTTCCCCCCCTCGCTATAGGTCTCGGACGCCTGCGACGCGGTGTTTGTGGGGGGCAAGGAGAGCCGTGGGGCGCGGGGGGCGCGGGTGGATTTCTGGTCCCGGCGGCTGCACGCCTCCCTGCGCTTCACCGTCTGGGCCCCCCTGCTCCCCCTGCGCGTCCAGCTGGGGGACACCGCGCTGGAGCAGGTCAGGGGCTGGAGGCTGCCCGGTGGCCCCGACAGGTGAGTGTGGGGCACCCCATGCCATCATAACCCCCCCCCCTGAGCCCTGTGGCACTCATGACATGCACCCCTGCCCCACTGAGCCCCCACCCACTCATGGCACATGTCCCTGCCCCACTGAGCCCCATGGCACCCATGAGATGCACCCCTGCCCTGCTGAGCCCCCACCCACTCATGACACATGCCCCTGCCCCACTGAGCCCCATGGCACCCATGAGATGCACCCCTGCCCCACTGAGCCCCCACACACTCATGACACATGTCCCTGCCCTGCTGAGCCCCCCACACTCATGATGTGTCCGTGCCCCACTGAGCCCCACTGTGATGTGCACCCCTGCCCCGCTGAGCCCCCACGCACTCGTGGCACATGTCCCTGCCCCACTGAGCCCCATGGCACCTATGAGACACAGCCCTGCCCCACTAAGCCCCCACACACTCGTGACATGACTCCCTGCCCCACTGAGCCCCATGGCACCCATAAGATGCACCCCTGCCCCACTGAGCCCCCACGCACTTGTGACACATGTCCCTGCTCTGCTGAGCCCCCACGCACTTGTGACACATGTCCCTGCCCTGCTGAGCCCCCACGCACTTGTGACATGTATCCCTGCCCCACTGAGCCCCATGGCACCCATGAGACGCACCCCTGCCCCACTGAGACCCCACACATCATGACATGTCCCTACCCAACTTGAGCCCCACGGTGCTGTGCACCCCTGCCCCGCTGAGCCCTCACAGACTCATGACATGAATGCTTGGGGGGGATGACACCTTCTCCTCCTCCCTTTCCCCCCCCCAACTCTGCCCCACAGGAGCTGGAGATCCTCAACACGGCCCCTCTCACGGGGGTCCCCCGCACTGTCCCCGTTAAACTGGTGGCCGTGGAGGCGGGGGGGGGCCTGGCCGAGCTCCCCGAGCCCCCCGGCTGCGAGTCGGCCGACAAGCAAGTGCTGCAGGTGAGCAGTGTGTCCCCCCCCAAACCCCACTGTCCCCCCCGCAACTCCACCCCAGGCTGCCCCCTTA